GGGGGGGGGGGTTGAATACACCCGAGTTGATGCTAGGGGAGCTGATAGGCTGTTCCAGTTGTAATGACAGCAGAAGCAGAAATGATAAGGGGAAAATTGTTGGTAGATAAGGCCCATGGGAATACAGGCCGTTGGATGTGAAAAGCTGGCGGCTGAGATCGCGTCCCAACCGCTTGGCCTCTTCCTACCGCATTATGAACATGTGCTGTATTTGCGGAGAATTCATTTTCCAGTAGGCCTTTCTTTCCAAACAGGAAAGTCTGGGTGCGAAAAACCAACAAGGTTTCCACCACGTATCCCAATGATAAGGCTGCCATGGAAGCTTTGTCATAGGGACACACACTCCTGCAGGCAAGGCCCCCAGACCCTGGGCCCCACTTGAAAATGAACATTCTGGAGCTGATACCACCATACAGTCATCATTAGGGTGGCACTGTTCAGTGTACGAATCAACAAGGCAGAATCTCCCTGATCCAGAAGGTCTTTAGGCCCTACATCTTGAGAATATACTCTGACCGGAAGAGTGGTGTCAGGCGCTGTTCGCAGCATTAACCTGAACTCTACTCTGATCTGCAACCCATGGCCACCTGGTCCGTGGCCCTTGGAAAGGCAAGCGGACACTGGAATTGTAAGCATGCTAGGCTACCTGAGACACTTGGTCACGACTCTTTGGGCAGCCACTTCACTTGACGTATAGCTAGCTATCAGTGGAGGGGCACTGGGCTGACATCCCACTTGCACCTGGATAGCATTTATCAGGACTTGTGTGGTCGTGAGCAACTTCCGCCGAGCATGCGATGTGCATGTGGGTCATGCAATCTTACGCACAGAACCTCCAGTACTTCCTAAAGCCGGGCCCGTTAACCTTCATAGTAAAGTGGATAGACCCGAACCATAAACTAGCTGAAGTACAAAACGACGGAAGGCTGACATGGAAGAACTGGGCAGCACAGGACCACCTATGGACATACAGACCGGCCGAGTTCTTCCCAACACCACCCCCGGGTCAATGCAAAAATTCGCTAAGAGAGGTGCACCAGCCCCAAGGTGAGCCGGATCAGCATGCACAGGCTGGGCCCTGCCCCCTT